CTCCTTATTCACCCGTTTTCTGAAGCACGTACACCCTCTTTTAAAAGCAAGCAAAATAGCAGGACATTCAAAACATGAGAAACAAAACAGTATTTTAACAGCATAATTTTCTGTTTCACTTCTATACTTTATTCACGGCTTTTCTTTTATGATAGCCATCAAAACATGGCTTTCAAAGATTGCAATTTCAAGCAAAATTACTATAAAGATTTCTCTTGAGTCTGTTTTGCATCTTAAAATTCTCTGTAACAATATCTTTTTAAAAAGCAGCAAACTGCAGTTTGGTCCACGTTCTGTGATTCTATTTAGCAAGAATATACAAAACTTTTTTCTTTGCACATAGTCTTCTCTGAAATACATTCTGAACATTCCCAACTGATGTAATCCCATGATATGTACTGATCAATTGTTGACCAATCATCTTTCCCTTTTCCTTATGTCATTAGCCTTTTGGAACTCTGATTGGGTATCCTTATTGCACAGCCACACATCAGTCATTGCAAAATCATTTTCCTTCTATGTTGACACATAGTGGATCCAGCCAGTGGAAGCAAATTTTTAACCTTAAATTCCAAGTCAATTACAATACCACCAGTAAAATGCTTTTGATACTAGAAAAACACAGTACCATGATAACAACATGATAGTTACACAAAAAAGCTATTTAAAAAAATCTATACTTCCTACACAACATGTATTGATAACTGTAAGCAAAGAAGTCATAGAATTCTGCACAAAAAATGTGATCCAGTTAAACCATGGCCATTCTGTAAACTACAGCTCTTTCTTCTCTTTCCTTACTGTCTGGCTATCCGACCCTTTAGGTGGAATGACCACCATGATCCCACCAGCCAACAGAGCGAACCCTGCCCCCACCACCCCCGCTCCTGTCAGGTGTACCTCCTGGACTAGTCCACCCAACAACTGGGCCCCGATACTCCCCATCCGATACACCGATTGGTTCAGTCCCATCAGCACCCCCGTCTCTTTGTTCCGCCCTCGCTCTATCGTGATGTTCGTCGACGCGACCCTCAGGTTTGCATTACAGAACGACATGACGGTTTGGCAGACGATGTGGAGCCAGATGTACGGGGTGAAAGTCATCCCCAGGATGGCCGCCACCAACAGGATGGTGAAATGGATCATCACCCTTGTGTCGCTGCGGTAGAATTCCGCGACCTTTCCGGCGGCGAAGCCGCTCACGGCGCCGACAATCCCGCCGTAGGATATGAGGTAGCCGACCTCTTTTGGCGTGATGTCGAAGCGTTGTTCGAGACCGAGACCCAAGTTGTTGCGATAGAGAAGAACAGAGAACGTCAGGACAGGAACAGATCCCACATGTCAGAGAACAGGGCTTTCTTCAGGGAAGAGAAGAAAGCTAGAAAGCCAAAGCTTGTGGTTGGATTCTGTTTGTGGTTGTCATTTTTCTTTTCTGTCTTGACGTGCGGAAGAGCATACCACACAATACACAGATTGATGAAGAACACAGCCGAGCCCACCAGATAGACCAGCTGAAATCCTCCCTCTGTAACCATCAGATGTCCCCCAACCACAGGCCCTACTATAAACCCCATACTAGAGAAGGCACTGTATCTTCCAAACACTTCCGAATGTTCCGCTTTGGGGACGATGTCTGCCAGGTATGCCTTGGATAACGTCTGGCTTTGTTTGAAAATACCTGCAAGGATCCTGACTGGTAGGGCCAGTGCAAGGGTAGGTGCCAGCCCCAGCAGGGTGTAGCTGATGGATGTCAGTAACAGGCACAGCAACAACATGGGTCGTTTTCCCCACACATCGCCCCAGCTGCCTATGAGTGGACTGGAGAGGAATTGGATTCCACCATACACTGCAGCTAAGGCTTCCATGACTGGCATGAGAGTTGGTGAGAGACATGATCTGAGACATTTTGCTTCCATGTCTTTAGCATGTCTGGACAGTAGTGGGGTGATCATGCCCACTCCAAACAAATCCAAAAACCCAGAAAAACACAGCCACATCGACAGTCTCTTTACAACTTCCTTGGGGGCAGCCATCTTGAATATGGAAGGTACCATTCCTTTCGGCAGGGGTAAGAAATCACCTTTCATTGATCGATGACTGGGTGTTTGATGGCTTCCTTCATTCGATTACTACTCCTCGTGTGTAGACTTATCCAAGGCGTTAAGCTGAAGATCCACAAAACGCACTTGTGAAACCTGTCTTTCAGCCATGGTGTGATCGGGCTGAAAGGCCTAATCACGGAGAATTGCGACATAGTCTTCCGCCACGACTCTGACGTCACTTCCGCCCGCTCGGAGGAGAGAATGCGAGCCTCCACAGCACATGAGCATGCCAAAAGCTGGGAGGTTTTGGGGGTCTTCAGGGTCTTTGGGAGCTTTTATGTGCTATTTTCTGATTGTATATAGACAACATAGCCGGCCTGGTTGAATTACCCCGGTTTTAGAACTGGGCTAATCAGAAAACAGCCGAAGACCACCAAACCCCCAGTTCTATAAGCCTGCTACGGAGGCTAATCAGAAAACAGCCGAAGACCACCAAACCCCCAGTTCTATAAGCCTGCTACGGAGGCTAATCAGAAAACAGCCGAAGACCACCAAACCCCCAGTTCTAAGCCTGCTACGGAGACTAAAGATACCTGATCAGTTGCCGCAGGTGAAAAATAGGTGTGATAAATAACACAGACGTTAGGCTGTACCGTTACTGACCTGTGGTTTACCTGTGCCACAGATGTACCTACACTACACCTGTATCTGTAGTATACCTATACACCTGTAATACACACGTGCTTTTACCTGTAACACACCTCTACCGATCTCTAGTACACCTGTACCACACATATACCTGTCCTGTAGAACACCTCTACCTGTATCTATAGTATACACCTATACCGGTAATACTGAACTGTAGTTAGTACACCTCTAACTATACAAGCAGTACACCTGTTCCTGTATCTGTAGTATACCTATATACCTGTAATACACATGTTCTTACCTGTAGCACACTTGTACTGATCTCTAGTACACCTGTACCACACATATACCTGTCCTGTAGAACACCTCTACCTGTATCTATAGTATACACCTATACAGGTAATACTGAACTTTAGTACACTTCTACCTATACCTGTAGTACACCTGTACCTGTAATGACCTGTGCCTACCTGTATTTCATCTGTGTCTACCTGTATATCACCTGTACTAATCTCTAGTACACCTGTGCCACACATAAACCTGTCCTGTAGAACGCCTCTACCTGTATCTATAGTATACACCTATACCGGTAATACTGAACTGTAGTACACCTCTAACTATACAAGTAGTACACCTGTTCCTGTATCTGTAGTATACCTATATAGCTGTAATACACATGTTCTTACCTGTAGCACACTTGTACTGATCTCTAGTACACCTGTGCCACATATATACCTGTCCAATAGTACACATCTACCTGTATCTATTGTATACACCTATACCGGTAATACTGAACTGTAGTACACATCTACCTGTATAGCAGTACACCTATACCAGTACTGACCTATGCTTACCTGTGTTACACCTGTATCTGCACACCGGCGTATCCACAAACACTGGGGCCAGAAGTGCCCACTTTTCTAGACAGGCTGGTTATATGATTTTTGTCACAACAAAAGTCGGCTTCTGTGTCAATTCCTCCGCAATTCTTAGACGCAGAATGGGGCTTAAAGGCTACTTGCTTAATTGTGTGTGTGTGTGTGAAGATGTACAATGGAGCTTAAAGGGTCCTTTTAATGTCTCATGAAAGGATTCTGCTGTTAATCCCTGTAAAATTGGGGCGTGTTACATGTTATCGTTCTGTGGGTAATTTGAAACCGCTGGAACGTCACACAACAAGAACTGACAACTCTTTTCCCAACGAATGATAATCATGATATAGCCTCTACCAGGCTTAGGCAAGTGGCTGGACATTATTCATCAGTGAAGAAAAAAATTATCTATGTATAACTCTGAATGACTAATCTTCACAAACGAGCTGTACAATTATCATTCGTTTGTATTATCATTCTAGCCTCTACCAGGCTTCAGGAAGCGGCTGGAAAGAGTAGAAATAGGCCAAATAGAGAGGTAGCATGCAAAACACGCTAAAAAATACCCCCAAACCCAAACCTCTGCTTGGAGAGTAGACACGTATAGGTTTCTGGAATTTTCAACCCTTGTTAGGAAATATTTTACCTGGATGAACAACAAATCTGACCCGCTAATTAGGAAGCCCCGGCGGCCCACCACTTAATCCCTGTACAAAGGGTGGATAAACGCTCGCCTGCGGTCCTCTTATAGCCTCTACCAGGCTTTGGAAAGCGGCTGGAAAGAGTAGAAATCGGCCAATTAGAGAGATAACATGCCATGGGAGTTGCACTTGGTCCGCTCGAGAGTACAGTTTGCCGCACCCGAAAAAAAGTACTCTCTAGCCTACCAACTCCCCTGCATGTTATCTCTCTATATTAATTGAACGATTTCCACTCTTTCCAGCCGCATCCCGAAGCCTGGTAGAGGCTACGGTCCTCTCACGACATGGACACACCCACCATTTTATCACCATGGTAACCATTGTGAGGCTGACCCAGGGGGCACGGCACTTTGAGGAGGGATTTCGTGTCGACTGTATGAAATGCTTTAATAGTTAGTAACAAAGCTTTAACGACCTGTCACGCGCGAAAGGCTATTGTGTAGTATCGTGATATTGTGTGTGAGACTGACTAGTCTTTTTATAGCCTGGGACTGACTAGTTTTTTTCTGGCCTTCTTTTTTTTATGCCAGACTGTTGTCATTACGTTGCAGGTGTGCAACTAACCTACATGTATATTTGCGTTGTGTACATAACATAGGAAATGGACTTCTCTTCAGAACTTGTGAAGAAGAGAACTTATATTTGATATTTCCAATGAAATTTCGAGTTAGAAAAATTACAAATAGATAACATTACTAGTCAACAATCTAATCTACCTTTGAAAATGTTTATTCCCCATCAAAAATAAATAACAACAAGTGAACAACATGACAGCTTGCATAGATGTATCAGGTATGAACACCACCAAGTCAAGTTAGTCACCAATACAATGAGTTCTTGAAGATCTATTAAATATGAGTCTTGATACCAACACAGTTGCACAATATATCCAGCTAACCTGAGATCTCCTCTCTCTAAGTACAGGTAAAAAGGCACTTCTTCAATCAGTCTTTTCTGCCATTTCTTACAGAGATTCAGGCTGCCTTGCCAATGATACTGTACTATGTCTTCACAATTTCAGGCTGTTTTGCAGCCACCGAAAGACCTGCCTGAAAATTTACCATGATGATTTTCTTGCCCTGCATACCTCACCATGGAATGCAACATATACATTTGTACTTAATATAAATATTTCATATATCAAATATCATAAAATCACAACAACAAATGTCTGGGGTGTTCAGGAGAGTTTCTCCCTTAAGGTCAAAGGTCTGGCTCCTTGGGCTCCTCAGTGTCACCTTTGACCTGTTTGACCTGTGACCTGGCGGGTATGGAGGAGGTCTGGATGGTTTGTTCCCAGTTCTGTCCATCAAACGTTTCCACGACGACTCGCTCGACCGTCACCTGGTCCAGACAGTGGGGCATCACACCTGCCGAGGTGAATGAATGAGTGAGTGAATGAATCCATCCATCCATCCACCCATCAACTAGACACTACTGTGTATGGCCGTATTGTATGTGGCATGTATCTGAAGTTTTGCTGCATGTTTTTTTAATGTTTTGTAAACATGAGCCATCCTCATAGATGGTACATAAAGAACACCTGAAGCCACCTCAAGCATCCTACAGCTTTCTTCCTGGTGTGAGTGGTTCAAACCTTACAGCCTGGTCTTACGCAGCATGTACTTACTGAACATGGTGTGTTACACCTAAAGTCCGATATATGTGAAACAAAGTTTAACCCCTTCGTACCGTATCCATCAGGGTTTGACCTGGGACAGTAGAAACTCTGGACTCCGCATGTCTTACAGAACAGGTGCTTGGCCTGGTGGGTGTTAAAGGTGTAACACGTCAAGTTGTCCTCCCCCTGGAGAAGGGACAGACAGGTGTAGCAGGTCAATCTGTACCCCCCCTAAAAATGCACCACCACCTCAGTCCCAGTATCAGACTGCAATGGGTATGCTCTAAAAAAAAGTACAAATTGACCAAATGGACTGAATACAAGTCAGATTCAAGGTCAGAAGGTTAGACTTACCTGCAGCAGTTTGAACTTTGACCTGGGGACAATGAAGTGCCTGTTCTGCTTCTTGAAGCAAATGCTGCAGCTGGAGGTATTGTAAAGGAGAAAAAAACATCTTGATCAGAAGTACTGTCATCTAACTCTTAAAGTTGTCAGATCAATCAGTAATTTTTTTAATGAAAAGTTTTTGTTTTCAATTACCTGCCAAAGCAGACAGACAAGTTTTGGGTTGGACTTACTTGCAGTCCACCGCTTGTAAGATAGGGGGCGCCATTACGACGTACTGTACGGCGCCGCAGTGGCAGCCGCCCGTGTGAACCACATCGTTATCTGTAGGTACAAGGTCAGGGGTCGCGTCCGTGGCGGCCTCTAGGGCGTCCGCAATCTCTGCGCCAGTCGTGGGAACTTTCGCCTGATTGGCTGACGTACTGGCGGCCATTTTGTCTGGAATGAAACACACAAATCTAGTGTTAGAATTGCACTATCCTATAACATGTAGTTATAATTCTGCTGGCTTTTTTGTAGATATCAAACTACCATTTAGCAGCAAGTAACAAATTCAAGTTCAAAACTTCATGCACTTGAGTCTATCTTGTCTCCACCATTCAGGGTTTTCTGTGACTGTGAGTTAAAAAAACAGCACTGTTAAAATTGATAGGGAAGTACAGTAAAATCGTCTAGATGGGGAAATATCGGTGGAAATGGTTTCACGGGTTATTCTCAATATCTGTTCACGAATATTAATGGATTATAACTTCCTGCATGGACTAGCCCGCTAGAATCGTATTTTAGTATTAGTTTGTGTATGTACCTCTGGTGTTTCTTTGCCATACATTGTACCAGCTACAATTGTTGAGCAATAAAGTTGATTGATTGATTGATTGATTGATTGATTGATTGATTGTAACGTTAGAGTCGACCAAACCAGTGCCACGCCCACTTACTAAAACCGGTCCTGGCGAACCTATTTTCAGTACCCAAATGCGTTACCTAATTCTTTGGTGTAAAAGTCTTAACTTCTACGTTACCTGATTCTGAAAGGATCTATCAGTCTTCTACAGTTAACCCGAAAACTTGCCAAGCAGTCTCGAACTACCAGTCGACTTCACTTCCGGCTTCCACCTGTACCTGTGACTGTACCATGGATACAAGGGGGCGTACTACCACAAAATCTAAATTGATATGACAAAAAATGGCACAAATTTTATCAGAGATTGTTAAAAGATAATAAACAGGTTATTACGTATATAACATTTATTCATAAAAGTAGGATTTTTATCTTATGTAAGAAACAAAGAAATTATGTTAAAACCAATTATCCCCTGCAGCATGGTTTCAACGTGTGATCGTCCGTTTCCCTTTGACCTTTTCAAAATGGCGGCCGTAGTGTGCACTGGTCGTATTTTGGAGGCGATTGGCGCTGTTTTATCACAAAAAGACCTGCCTGACGACCTCCGGAAGGAGCTCAGTCGGTACAGGGACTCACAATCTGGCAAGAAGCCAGGAAAAATCCCGTTCCAGACGGTCCAAAAGCTACACGAGCGGCTGGAAGGTTGGTTGTGGGCTCTGCACGTTAAAGAACCCAACACACTTTGGTGTGCTTGGCTATATACTAGTATGCAAGTCGTAGCGAAGCAACGTTGTGCTAGTAGCTGCTTTGAAAAGCACATCATACTTCACCTCAGTTGAGGATGACAAACTTATGTTATAGTTTCTATTTATTGTTCTTTTCTACATGCATTTTGCTAATGCTATGCCTGTGGTAGCCGGGGCTTGCAGTCTTTTCCTAAGGCTAATGTAAAAGACTGCAAGCAAGAGAAGCCCTGCAACAGTCGCCGCGGCTATGCCTGTACTATACCTGATCCTGGGGACTTTGTTTATTTTATCTACTAGTATACTATAGCTAGATATCCATATCTCAACAGAATTCTATCATGGAGGTAATGATTCTATGAAACATGCATGTTACTTACTTATTGTTAGGATGTATCATGTTCACAACTGACGGTGCCTCAGATTCAAAGTAATTGTCTTTAATAGTGTCAGTGCTCAAAGAAACAGTTGTAGTCAGGCATTTTTAACCCTCAGCATCTTACTACCTTCACATCGATATCGTGTGCTGCATATGCTACAGATGGCGAGAAGAAGCAGTACCTCCATGAGCTGCTAGAGGGCAGTGATGTCTTCTTCCCACCAGTGGAGATGCCAGAAAGGGTATGTGTTGTCCTCAGTTTTATCAGATAACATTTCAGTAGCAAGTCTACTATTGAACTCAGATGTCCATGGTTGCTTATGCATTGGGGTAAACCAACCTCCAAGCACATGCATGTGACTAGGTCCGAGGGAGTCATCAGTATAAATATCAACCCATACGTGCACGAACAGACGTCTACAAATATTCCTTTTTGCCCTGCACTATCCCACAATGGAATGCCTTGCCTGGCCCGGTAGTTATGGCTCCCACCGTTGAGTCTTTTCGGGCCAGGCTGGAGGCCTGCCCGCCTTAGACTAGGGCCTCCCCCCCCCCTAAAGTGCTCCAACAGGGGCTATATGGGGGTGTAGCCAGGGCTCTTATAACATATATAGTCAGAGCCCCGGCAAAGATGAAGGTCTGGGATTACATACTAGGGTGTAACAGTGGGGTTCAGTGCTAACTGACCCATTCCAACAGGTTCGGACCTTTTGGCATAGTGGTTAGCGCGCTGGTGCCTGGCTGCCTGGGTTCGGCGTGGGTTGGATCCTGGGACTCAGGGGGCGTCCTGGGAGTCAGGGGTTTTCATGTTTCTACTAGCTCCTATATTTGTTTCAAAGCGATTATGTTCTGAAAATGAAATCTGGATAGATTTTGAAATTCTGGTAGCTTATTCGAAATCTATCAAGTTGCTTCAGTAACAACAGTTTTCTTGTGTGTCTCATTACTTGGATGTCTAACCCTTCGGCAAAGTCTGGATAATTATTTTGCTGGTTTCCCCCATCCTGGTCCTGTCATTCAGCTGTAACATAAGTCTTACCTCTGGTCTGTATGGTGATGCATGTGTTAATTGGAGTCACCTGAGCCTCTGGATTATTTTCCTAGTTGTTGATGGTTACACTATAACTTATAGTATAAGGCCACATAGCTAAGCTAATTGTCACTGGTTGGCTTTCTTTACTCTCAGTGTTAGTCAAACTTGATCTGAGCAAAAACAGTCCCAGGTTTTGGATTGTTTTCCTAGTTGTTGATGGTTGCACTATAACTTAGTATAAGGCCACATAGCTAAGCTAATTGTTGCTGGTTGGCTTTTTTTCTCTCGATGTTAGTCAAACTTTTTGGTCTGAGCAAAAACAGTCCCAGGTTTTGGATGGTTTTCCTAGTTGTTGATGGTTGGCTTTTTTTTAAAAGAAATTAGTCTGAGCAAAAATTATAAGACAACCACTGAGTCCCAGGTTTTCTGTCTCAAAAGTGAGCCCAGGCAGATGAAGAAGGATCCATACATTATAGTTGTTCCTGTGTATTAATACAGTAATGAATACCTCGGTGGGTTTGGGTTTGTATATACCAGAGTTTCCTGTGCCGTGTGCTGTCTACCTTCTAAGAAAACCTTAAACTAAGTAACATACCGGTAGATACATTTGAAAAGTCAGGAAGTCAAGAAGTAATATTTGAGAAGTACATGTATAATATACACAAATCTAGAATTTAAGAAAAACTGCAGTTGATTGGTTGGCAAAATGACACACACAAAGAAAAACCTTCAACCTTAATAATCAATGGTTGATACTTTTGAACATTGAAACTGTATATTACCCTCTTCCTTCTAACTTAGGTAACCTTTTGTCTTGCTTTTTAATGCTTTCCAACATATCAAAAATGTACACATTTTTGTACCAAGTTTACATGTTGGAAAAGTTATTTCCTTTTGAGGTTTAAACTTTAATCAAATTCTGATCTTTATTCATCGTGTTGGAATTCTTGTCAGACACGTGCAGCAAAATTCCATCAAACTTCGGAATGTCGGAAATCTCTCTATAACTCCACAATTTACGCCTGGGTTCTGGTTCCAAAGTGATGCAGATGTGTCCTATTAATAAAGCCAACTTCCTTCTGTTGAAATCTGCGGCTTAAAGTCTGTTCACATCAGGACTATCGGTTACTCTGCTATCACCTAATGATATCAAACTACACAGATAGTCTGCGCGCCGATAGTGCCGCGATCGTTACTGTGTCTTTGGCATTGAGCTGAGGGATTAGACCTGACTATTAGTGAGAGGGCCTGCAAGGAGGGGTCCCGACAACGCTCTACGCTGAATTCGGAAACCCTCCATTACGCTTTACGATAAATTCCAAGAGGCTACAATGCATTACGTAGAATTAAAACGGCGAATACGCTCTACGTAAAATGCGAAGAGCGGTCCGTCTACGCTCTACGGAAAAGGGCTTGCGGGCCCCCATTAGTGAGGTATTTCCTTGGTTCTTGGATTTGCAAATTTCTTTATGGCTATTAGTCTTTAGTATTAGGTTATATATTAGTCTTCAGACTTCTTTTTAGTGAACAGATTCAAAGAGTGTCTTTAAAAAAAAGACAGTGCCGCGATTGTTACTGTGACTTTGGCATTGAGCTGGTGGATCAGATCTGACTATTAGTCAGGCTGGACTGATGCAAGTCCTTGGTTCATGGATTTGCAAATTTCTTCATGCCTATTAGTCTTAAATAGTATTAGGTTACACAGTATATTAGTCTTCAGACTCATTTTTTAGTGAACAGATTCAAAGAGTGTCTTTTAAAAGAAGACAGTGCCTGCCATCGTTACAGTCTTTGGCATTGAGCTGGTGGATTAGACCTGACTATTAGTGAGGCTAGACTGATGCAAGTCCTTGGTTCTTGGATTTGCCTGCTTCTCTTTGTAGCCACGTGAAATTTATGGTAAAGCGTCATGGAGAGCTCTCAAAATTTAGCATAGTGCGTTGTCTGACCCCCCCATGCAGGCCCCCACAAATGTGCCCATTACTGGACAGATCCACACTCTGATACCTTCACTGCAAGATTAACGATGAACCACCAGGAACTCACTTAAAGACCCAGGAGACCGCTGGGATGCCGTCTTTAACCACTCAGATGTCCTCCTTAATTAATTTATCTTGAAGGAGCTGTCCCTGACGTCTTTATTTGGGTCCTCGATGGCTGGCTGAGTTAAGGAAGTGTCCAGGAATCTTGGTAAGACAGAAGCTGGAGGAGTATCAGCTTACTGACTTCCTCTGTAAGTCTGGGTGGTTACAGGATGGAGACATAACAAGGTGATCCCTGACTACACTGATGATCACTTTTAGCACAACCAGAGGGTATCAGAGGGTGGATCTGTCCAGAATGTGGGCCTGCATGGGGGGGTCCCAACAACGCTCTACGTAAATTTTGAGAGCTCTCAATGACGCTTTACGATAAATTTCAAGTGGCTACAACGCATTACGTACAATCAAACCGGCGAAAACGCTCTACGCAAAATGCGGCAATTACGCTCTATGTTGAATTAGAGCGGTCCGTCTACGCTTTACGTAGAATTAAAACGGCTGATTACGCTCTACGGAAACCTGGGCATGTGGGGGGGGGCCTTAAACTTAAAGTGAAGGTATCAGAGTGAGGATCTGTCCATTAATGGGCACATTTGGAAGACAGAAGAAAGATGTCTAGACTATGCATGATGTACAAAATGACTAATAAACTGGTGGATGTCCCAACTACTAAGTACCTAATACCAGCCCAGAAGAGAACAAGAAATAGCCACGCATTCAAGTACCAGAGTTATCAACCAAGGATTGAGGTGTTCAAGAATTCATTCTTTCCTAGAACTATCGCAGAGTGGAACTCACTGTCACCAAGTACAGTAGGGGCATTGTCAATAGATAGCTTTAAACAATGTCTAGAGCTAGAAGTTCAAGGGTTAGGTGTAACAAGTCGATCGGTGTAATATAGCCAGCTGCCGCCGCGCCGCATGCCTGCGAAGCTGGTGTGTTACGCCGAAAGGCGGTTATACCGGCTATACAGATACAGATACAGATTTGTGTGTCTGGTCTGTAGATAAGACTGAGCCTCTCTGATGCAGTGATTTAACAATCAGTAGAGGAGCAGGTCAGCATATTTGCAAGTCTGTTGGTTCTGTTCAAGCTTTTTGTTGGGATGGTTTCCTTGGATTTAAAGTCATGACTTGGATGCAGAACTTTTTTGCAGGAGTAAAAGTACATGTAGCCTTCACAGCTTCAGGACGTTACAACTGGTTTTTAAAAGAAAAGGGGCACCATAATAAACTTTTTACAACCTAAGATCCACTGCTCACCATGACACAAGTATTCTATCTGCATGACATGGCTGCACAGAAGCTGTGGATTCCTCATTGATTGCCAAAGACTGGAGTTGAACAGTTGAAAATTTGGGTAAGTCCAACTTTTGTGTTGAAATTACAGTTTCAACCCTATTTCAGAATGACTTCAACTAAAACAGATGAAGTTTCATTGCCCATGTCAACTTGTAAGCGGGATTTGAAAACTTCCAGTGTGGCACCTTTGAAAAATTGTTGTGCAGATTTAAAATGACCAGGCGGGTCCAGATTCAGCTGAAGGTCGTGACCCCTGTGACCTTGGGCTGCCCCTGACCTTGTCCAGTCTTCTTCCAGCATGATGTCATCCATCACTTTGAACCTGAGTTTCCTGCACCTGTTGTTCTATAAATAGAACAGGCTGGTAGCCTCAGGGCCAACTGTTACATGTAGTATACAGTACTAGTACTGTTACATGTAGTATACAGTACTAGTACTGTTACATGTAGTATACAGAACTAGTACTAGTACGGGGGGGGGGAAATAAAGAGGGGCAGGCAATGGAAAAGATGGGAGGATAATATTAGAGAATGGACAGGCAGGACACTAAGTGAAATATATACTAGTATATTGGGGAAGTTGAGAAGAACAAAAAACCGAGAAGGGTGGAGAAAATGGCTGACTTGTCTGTGTTGCCTCCACAGTCAAATTATAAGATATCGTATAGACTAAGAGATAGTCTGTATGCGCTTCAAATCTAACTTTCTGGGCCCTTTGGTTGCCCAAATCTATATCCTTGGTTCCTTGCTGAACTTGGACACTCTGTGTGAAGAACATACCAGTACTTCTTATATTACTACTGTATTTCTCTGTCTTTCAAGCACACAACAAACCAATCAGACAGTGGGTAAGAAAAAGATTGAGACTTTATTTTGCAAACTTCCCCCCCAAAGTCTTAATTCTTATCCACGACACTTAACTGCAAAATTTTTACATCTCAATACAAACGGATAATTACAACAAGCCAGGTCAAAGTGGTCGGTTTTACAAACTCGCCAGAAAATACAATACTGTAAACATCTGCATTCTTAAAGCTGTGTCAATGTCTTTGATGCTCATATTCATAAATTGGATTAAGAGGGCTCAAAATACAATGTACCCACTGCTACAAGCAGAAATTTGAAGAAAGGTTTAGATACTATTTACTAGTAGTGATTGCAGAAAAAAATATCAACAACCTAAAAGTGTACAGACTGGGTGTTGTGAAAAACAGAACTATTTCTGACGTATGATTCTTGAGATTGTGAAGCCTCTACAAGCTGTGAAATATGTACATCCATACAGAGTATTTACCTATTCATTTGTTTAACTATTTATTGAATTTTGAATGTGTTTACTGGTTTTGATGATCGTGTCATCCGTGTCCATTCATGTGCACGGCCATCCCATTTTCCGCTCGAGGTATCGTCGCATGGTTGTTGGAGAGGTTCACTGCGTTCAGGGACCTTCAAGAGTCAAGATGTGTTTATTAAACAAATGCACTCAAGTCACAGAGGTCTAAAAGTCTCATAATAACATTCGATATTACACATCACACTAACATCTAGCTTACGAGCTATTAATATCATAATGATCAAGTGTTTTTAATAGTTGTGTTTGTACTATGAAGTACAATGAAAATAAGGACAACATTAGTACATATGTAATACATGTACAATATAGCATAATTAGACAGCCAAAACTTAATATAATTATAGATCATGTGTCATATTGGGACAAGCCAAAACTAGGTAGTAAGAAATAGAGTTGGGCAATGGAAAAGATAATATCAGACTAAGGATTGACAAAACACTTAAAGTGAATGTTACAAAGAACAGAAAGAGTGTAGAAAACTGTTGTGAGATTGTCTGAAGTGCCCAAAAATTAGACTAAGAGATGAAGTAAGATACTAAGATGTTCAATCAATCCAAGCGTTATTCAGAACAGTTTGAATAAAATGTACCACACCCACCTCTGTACCATGGCCCTCCTCTTCCTGCGGTAGCAGCGCATGTAGCAGTACACGATTGTAGCGATCACGAGTAGCAACACCACGCTGCCCAGCGTGTAGCCAATCGTGATGTACGTGTGCGTCAGCTCAGCGTCTTCTGTACGGAACTCCATACAGTGGTCATCCTGGGGCAGTAGGAACAAACTGTTATTTTGGAAATAAACCATTTGTACATTCATTTGTTTGCTCGCTCACTCACTCACTCACTCACTCACTCACTCACTCACTCACTCACTCACTCACTCACACTCACTCACTCACTCACTCACTCACTCACTCACTCACTCACTCACTCTCACTCACTCACTCAGTCATTCATTCTATACCCATGCCAGATTACAGTTACTAAATACTCACTGGATAAATTTTGAAAACAGTCATCCCATTTCAGCTAGCATTCACTACCTTTTGTCAGTGACTGACAGAGGTCCAAGAACTATAATGAATTGAATTTACTAAATTAGCCTAAACTAAACCTCGCTTTTTGCCAGCTTTGAAATTCCAGATAGTCTGCCACCATTGGGGTGGCACCTCTTTAAGTGCCGGATAAAGCTTGTGTACACAGGCTAAAAAGTAAATGAGGTGAATACAAATTCTAGATAGAACCATTAGGAAAGCAAAAAAGACTTAATTTACCTGTGGCATGATGGACTGGGTGACACAGACAGAGTATCGTGAGGACGGCTTCAGGTTTTTTATCTTGTACAGAGAGACTCCTTGCTTGAGCACGGCTGTCTGCTGCAGGGACTCCCCCACTCTGTAGTATAGAACCCTGTATGGCAGAGGAAAGTACATTCGGGATATAGTAATACGTTGAACACACAACACACAAATTATACAGAGATCAAATTTTCAGGGATCACATTCATGTGTGTCTTGAAGGACCACAGGAAGAATAGCTACATTTTTTGTAAGCAAAATGTGGATCCCAATAAAGTCAAGTCAAGTCAAGTGGCCAATCGCTTCCGAACGTAATCTCGCGAGAGTTACAGTTACAAACACGTGACCTTACAATGTATTCACACGAGACTTTACTGATACGTGACGTGAGAAATTAATCAGAAGTGCCAGGGAGTTTATATTATCATCCACCGATTTATTATACATCGTCAGACATGAACAGTCAAACATTTTGGGAGAGTCCAATTTTTGTGATGGCAAGTACAGTTCAATCTTGTTAGTTAAACTTTTGATACAACACAGCAAAGTTTAATCTTGTTTCACCTGTATGGGAGCGGTAACACCAGGGGTTCGTCTGCGAGAGGAAACCATACATGCCTGATATAGTAATACGTTAAACTTTATTCCAACACACAAATTATACACAAATTATCACTGTCGCCTTCATCAGGATAATCAATGACCAATCACTTCCAAATGTAATCTCACGAGCATTGCAACCATCCCTGAACAGAGACGGGGGGCGCCACAGACTTTCTGCATGTATGTGCGTGACGTCACGGAAGCGGTGGATTGCTTATTCCTTGACAAAAGACTGGAGTTGTGCAGTCGAAAATTTGGGTGAGTTCAACTTCAATTACAGTTCAAACTTGTTTCACCTGTACGGCAGCGGTAACACCAGGGGTTCATCTGCCAGAGGGAACCACTGGATCAGCGCAGAGGTCGAGGTCACGGAGGTCACGAAGATACGCACGGGAACGGAGTCGGTGAGGATGGGGCCGCTGGGACGGCACTCACCCGTCGAGCAGTCAAGCCGTGTCACGTTCATGGAAGCCGTAGCGTTCGCACGACCCTCCTGGGAAGCAAAAATTTAGATAAAGTGAAAGTTATCTCAAGCCAAGATAACAGTTACTCAATTGACTGGATAGATTTTGAAAACAAAACTGACTGAGGCCATACCTAACCTAAAATGCAGATCTTATTGCACGTGTTCAAAGCATCTGAAAGATCTGTGAGACAACAGACAGCACCTAACCTTTGCACATATTCCTGTAATTGTTATAGCCCCTAAAAGCTCTGCCTTGAGACTATAGTAGTATATATAGCTAGGCCTTACCTGGTTGGTAGCGATGCACATGTACGTCCCTGCGTCTGTCTGGCGGACCGGTGACAGCAGGAGCCCTCCGTCGGGAAGCACCCGGATCCGCCGGGTTTTGGAGGCGGCCGAGATCACGGCACCCATGGGGAGGATCCATTCTACATCCGGGTCTGGGTCACCTGGGGGGGGTCGATCAATTAATCAATCAATCAATCATTCAATCAATCAATCAATCGGTATAGCTGCCCTTCAGCATAACACACCAGCTTGTGTATCTGTATAGCCGGTATAACCGCCCTTCGGCATAACACACCAGCTTCGCAGGCACGCGGTGCTGTGGCAGCTAGCTGCATTACACTGGAGGACCTGTTACACTCAATCTTTGCACATTCAATTGCAGGAGTTGTTTAAAGCTTTCTAGTGATGATGCCCCTACTGTGCTTGGTGGCAACGAGTTCCAGTCTATGATAGTTCTTGGAGTTTTCGAACACCTCAATTCTTGGTTGATAATTCTGATATTAGAAGGCATGGGTTTTTGGTCAATGTTGCATCAGAGTTTTGCCTGTTGCATACAGAAGACATCTTTTCCTGCTTAAATATTTGGAAACTACAGATGGAATGCTAACCTCATATGCGCAAATATGAGACGCTCTGCCAAAGTGCTAGGCACAAAACATTTCGGGTTTCGCGCAGATGCAGTACGTTCTGCTGACGTGCTGCATTTCTTACCTGTAGCGTTACACAGTATCACGGTGGTGTGTCCCACCAGTTTGTTGGGTAGTATCCATTCACCATAGAGGGTCCATACGCCACCCAGTGCAACTTTCTGCAAATCCTTGGGTGTCGTAAGGACCTTCTATGGTGAATGGATACTACCTGGCTATCAGAGAATCTGTATAGTGTGGCTAGCCTGTATTACCTATAGCCCACTGATCATTCTCTATGGGTCAGCTCAGGAAGCTAGGTTTTTGGTCCCAGTATTCTGGCACAGTAAAACTTGGCACAGTACTTTTTTCCGACACTGTCTTTTCCAGCTGGCTTTCCTGATTACAGCTGTCCCATAGAAGAACTAATCGTATTACTCCTGGTATGTGCCAGGCAGGCAGACAACACACTTAGCACTGTAGAGATACCAGCCTACAATGATTTGGCTCCCAGCAGGTGGGAGAGAGCGTTGCTTACCTGTGGCATTGCACAGTATGACAGTGGTGTGTCCCACCAGGACATTGATGTTTGTTGGGTAGTATCCATTTGCCTCTGTCCTGGGCTAATATTTGGGGGCCCGCAAGCCCTTTTCCTAAGAGCGTAATCGGCCGTTTTAATTCTACGTAGAGCATAAACGGACCGCTCTAATATTTTTGCGTAGAGCGTATTCGGCATTTTAATTCTATGTAATGCGTTGTGGCTACTTGGAATTTATCATAAAGCATAATCGAGAAGTTTCCAAATTCAGTGTAGAGTGTTGTCGGGACCCCCCCTTGCAGGCCCCCATATTTGAGAGTGTTGCTTACCTGTAGCGTTACACAGTATGACGGTGGTGTGTCCCACCAGGACATTGATGTTTGTCGGGTAGTATTGGTAATTAAGTATCAAGGAAGTACACACATGTACTAGTGGTACTGTACTCATTGCCAGTTCTGATGCCTCCTCCGTGAGCTTAGCTGGTTCTGCTATCTTGTTAGTTTTTTTTTAAACAGTGTTTCTTACCTGTAGCATTGCACAGTATGACGGTGGTGTGTCCCACCAGCACGTTGATGTTTGTCGGGTAGATGGTGATGGTCGGAGGTCGGCAGGTCAGCGCGCTGAGAGGGACCGCCATCACGTTCCGGCCCCGCAGGTGGCGCGGACCGGCGCACACGATGTCCGCGTTGTTCGGTACTGACACCTGGAGGAACAAAGGAAGGAAGGAAGGAATGGTAGAAGAATATAAAGGTAGTGTAGGAAGTAGGAATTATGAATTCCCACCAGCAACACCATATCAATTAAGATCGATAACGGACAGGGACCTCGTGTCTCTGGATCAGTCTTGCCCAAGCGGTGGTCGAGTGTGGACAGTCATTCTGGCAGCCTCATCAATATATAACACTGTTATCTGTAGTAGCTAAAATATTTCCTCACTATGTCTTTCTTTAGCACAAGTGGGACAATGCAACTATGCATAGAAAACGTAACTGTTCAAAACTTCAAAACAGTCTGTTCAAAACTTTGGAAACCATGCTTCTGCGCTTGCAAGGTTTAATTCAAGAGTCTAGAACTGAAAGTTACCTTCGTGGCATCGAGCCACTCCCTAAATGACTGCAGTGAACAGTTGCAGCTGAAGGGGTTGTTGTGCACCGCGGCTGTCTCCAACACCGGTTGGCTCGCCAGGAACTTAATTTTTCTGTTTAAAACTTCGGAAACCATAGATAACTATGACATGAAAGTATGTATTACCTTTGTGGCATCGAGCCATTCGCGGAAGGACTGCAGCGAACAGTTGCAGCTGAAGGGGTTGTTGTGCACGGCGGCTGTCTCGAGCACCGGTTGGCTCGCCAGGAATCCGCCCTCGATGGTGGCGATCTCGTTGTACGCCAGGTTAATCCACGTGAGCGCGGGAAAAGGCGGGAGGTTGTCAGACGGCAGGTGGGAAAGGCGGTTGTTCTGCAGGTCTAGACGTAACAGGGAGGACAGACGAGGGACAACCTCCCACGGGAACTCCTGTAGCTGGTTTTCACTCAGCCATAGCTCCTGTAAACGATTGATAAATCAATAAATTAATCAATAAATCCATCCAATCGACATACACTATTACATATTCTTGCTAGAAGATGTCCCATGGAAATTCCTGGAGCTGGTTCTCACTCAGCCACAGCTCCTGGAAACAATCAATCAATCAATCAATGGATCAATCAATCAATCAATCAATCAACCAGACTCTATTACACAACGTCCTGCACCTGGTTCTCACTTAGCTATAGCTGCTGGAAAATTGATTCATTGATCAATCAATCAATCAATTAATCCATTGCTCAGTCAATCAATTCATCCATGAAACAAAATTTCTCTTGCACTGTTACTAGAGGATGTTCCACAGAAAGACATGGAGTTTGTTCTCGCTCAACCACAATACGTATTAATGAAACAGCAGCACTTTGTCAATTGATCAATCAATCAATATTATAATGTACATCCTCCTGTTATTTACTATAGACCTCCATTTTTTTCAAGGTCACATTGACACTTGACCTTGGCCCAGACAGTACTTGACCTCAATAGCTGACTTCTTAAGTCAAACCATGGTCAAACAAACCAGTGACCACCATTATTCAACGTTTCCAACTACACACATGTATCATGTATTCTAAGGTATTCCATGGTATACCAGTAGAAGTTATCACACTGCAGTTTTTCGACAAATGGGAAGAAAATATTGAATCTGTCTGAATCAACGATCTTCCTGTTTTCATAATCATAGTGTGCTAAATCTATCCAGCCTGTCAATGGGTATCCTGAAGTCACATTCAATCACTATATGGAAACAGGCAACTCCAAAGCCAGGAATCTGTAGAATTAAAAAGATTAACCTGTCTCAACTACCATTACTTCATAGTGTACAAAACTTATCCAGCCTGCCTATAACAGCCTTCTGGAAATCACAGTCAGTCACTTAATAATGGTATCACTATGGAAACAGACAACTCCAAAGCCAGGAATCTGTAGAATTCCAGCAGCTCTGAAAGGGTTGCCATATCGGATGTTCTAGGGTTACTAATGAAGCTAGCTGCTAATTTACTGCACTGACAGATGATTCCTTAACTAGCAGAGAGGCTGGAGGGTTTTACTTGGGCCATAACATCTGTTACTTGTAAAACTGTATTTTGTCTGAAGCTTTTGAAGGAAACAAACTACAGTCACTGCTTCTAATGGACATTGTCTGAAACATCTGATTCTTTGAGTTAGAGACTTTTATATTTTGTCTTGAATAACTGTTCTTTAAGTTTATATATATATATATTTTTGTGTTTGTAGGTTCAATGTTTTTCATATGATACTAGATAAGACCATAACGATTGAACTTCTAGCTAGTATTGTAACTATACATGTTGACTGGACAATGCAGAATTAGGGGTAAGATTTTATCTTCGAACTTATAATACTAGTATGAAGAAAACCCTTTACATAAATCTCCAAGCAGATGTTTGGAGAAAAGATTGTGATGTTTTCTCAGATTCTGAGTCTTAGAAAACGTGAAGATCCTCCACTCAACATCTGCTTGGAGATGACCTTGATAAATCCCAAGTGGTCGGTCTGACCTCATCAGGGAAACTGGAGAGGGTGGTGAGGGGCCTTGGCACCCATCACAGCTAAGACAACAGAGACCAAAGCTGTTCCAGATTTGTAACAGATGGGCAGGCATGCACTCCCAGGAGGGGGGGGGGGAGGGAAGGGAAACAACTCTGAAGAGAGATTTATATTTAATGTAGTGCTCACAAAAAGTGTGATGCCCCCAATACAAGCAATATTAAGGCCACACCAATTTAATTTGTTTCTTCTCGGATTTTTTCAGAAAAAATATGAAGCGACAGGGCTAAAAAATAAAATACCAGTAAACAAAAACAGGTCTGGGCATCCTATTACAGCCCTAGTGAATTCAACACAAAAGGCTGGGTTAATATCTAAGCAATGAATTTTGAACTTCTTATCAAACCACTGCATTGACAGATGGAAAAAAAAGCTTGACTGTTGGGGGCAAAACATGAGCATTTTTTTATAGTTGATTAAGAACCAGAATCTTTTTTTTCTTTTTTGCAAATCAGAACAAAAAGGAAGAGGCCAATCTGACAACCAAGAAATTAAATTGGTATGGCCTTATCTTAGCTTGATTGCAACGTAACAAAAAAAGCCTGTAAGTGTGGTGGCAAATATGTGCTGTCTCCTCATATCTGTAATCTAATTAACATGATAAATAATCAGGATGCCTGCCTCCACAGGCAAAAACATCTGTTGGGAATTGATACCATCAGGACATGCAGGGAATGACGTGATCAAAGAAAACCTATCCTCAGATTCTGTCCACAGGCGGCCCAAAGGAGGGCCTGCATGGGGGGGGGGGGTATTGATCACGAATTACGCAAAATTTTCGCCGCCGATTAAAAATTACGTTAAAGTCTCAGTGCTGATTACGACTTTACGATTTGTGGCTAATGTCACATTACGAATTACGTTGATTTTTGTGGAGGCTGCCTACAAATTACGAAGTCTATTATATAAAAAAGGCCTGATTACGCCTTACGAAAAAGGGTATGTAGGCCCTCCCAGAGGACTTCTGAAGTGACTGCTGGCAATATTCGATATCTATTTCGCTGTGCAGCAAAACCTAAATTGGGTCTGATAGTTTTTCCCTTGCAGCTAGAAAAATATCTGATTTAATTTGGTCAAGTTTAAAGCAGTCATGATGTTAACATGTGATGATAATTAAGATTAAGTTTTGTATTTTTAGGTTTAATATATATTTCGCTGTTGAGCACAACCTAAATTGGTTCCAGAATTTTTTCCTTGGAGCTAGAAAAATATCTGATTTAATTTGGTCAAGTTTAAAGCAGTCGTGATGTTAACATGTGATGATGATTAAGATTAAGTTTTTTATTTTTAGGTTTGAGTTTCCTGTGTTTTTTAGCCTGTGGTTACCAAACAAATTACAATGATTCTTCCTTGTTTTTATATTGCCTATATGTAAGAATTCGATAACAGCAAATATGAAATGATAGACTTTGTAGTCCACTTAAAGTTTAACACTCAGTCCAGACTTGATTTAACTTTTTCAGGGAAAGTATAAATCCATTCCTGCATCTGTTTTTGGTTTAAGAAGTCTGACAGTTCCTAGTTATACTTGATGGACAAGAAGAATAATGAATGGCAACAAGAAAAATATCAGTACTAATTCCTCCCATCATCATCTGTCACAAATTTTCAAATTGACTTCTAAGTTATTATAATGAAAGTCCATCTGTGTTGGTAGTTACATGTTTAAAGTTAAAACTTTTGGTCCAACCCAATAAAGATCTCTCACCTAGAGCTTTCGACCAGTCACTCTGGTCTTCCTCTTGTCTGGTCGAAAGCTCTTGATGAGAGAATTTTTGTGTTGGACCAAAAGTTTTAATGTTAAACATGACTTTTAAGTTATTTGATAATTCTGCCCGAGCAAATATTTGAAAGTCCCCTCATGAATTTTAATTCATACAGTTGTGAGTTTATGAGAGCTTTTGACAATGAACTGTTAGTAAACAAACTGGTTGAGAAGTAAACAAATAAAGATTATAAAAGTTTTACTAGTAACAGAAAAGTTGTTGATTTTACTCGACTCGTTGGAAAATACAGGGTTTTATGATGTCACTGGGCATGGGAAAAACTAGCTGCTTAAACTATTTTTTTTCTTTAGGCCACAAAAGTCATCAATTTATTTCTTTGGTTTGCTGTCACTCCAATGAAGTTGTCAATGTCACAATAAACAAAAGGCCCTACAGATAAAGATAAACTATCTGTATAGGAAGATAACACTGGCCATTTGAGATTATTTTGATGTGTTTGACAAATACTGTAAGGCTTGTGAAACTCTGCTGTGTACTGGCAAAATTTGATATCAAATTTTTTAATACAAAATTTGACATCAAATTTAAAGGACTGACCCGTATGCGTTTGCTACTCACTCATTACATACGAGTTGACTGTTGTATTATTGTAGACCTGTAAAGGTTTTAATACACCTGTTTTCCCATCCCTTCCTCTTCCACTTGTACAGAATTCAAACAAACAAACAAGCAAACAAACAGACAAACAAACAGGTACTGACCTGTATGGAGGGGATAGTCATCAGTGCGTCTCCGGAGATGTGAGAGATCTCATTTCCTTGCAAGTACAGGTACCGGAGCTGCGTCAGATTCTCGAACGTCCGGGCTGGAATTCCCGCGATGGAGTTCCAACTCAAGTCCAGGTTCACCGTCGTCGGGGGCAACCCGGGGGGCACGCCCCTCAGCCGTTGGTCGACGCAGCTCACGTGCCCATCCCGCCAGCAAATGCACTTGTCGGGACAGCCGATCGCCCAGTGTCCGGTAGACAGCACGGAGAGGAACAACACGACACACACCCACATGTCTCCAGCCGGCTATATTTACTTAACCCACTGTTGTCGTGGTCCCCACTCTGTTGCCTTGTTCAAGTTGTTGTGGTACGAACCGTTTCGCTCCTTCTTGTCACCACCGCACCAGCAGTTTTCACACAGCCAGGACTTGTTGTGTCATTCCCTGGTTGAAGTAATTCCACCAAGTCAGCTGTTACTTCGGTATAACACAACACAACACAATGAGCCACAATGTGAAACTCCTGGAATAAGTTTGTGGGTGTGGAACTGTGCTGCCTACACAAACCTACACAGCAGCAGCTACTGTTGTCGTCCCCACTTCGGTATAACACAACAACGCGATGAAACTCCTGGAACAAGTTTGTGGGTGTGGAGTTGTGCCTACACAAACCCACAGCAGCAGCTGCCTCTATCTGCGTATGTAGTGCTCACACAGGCTTGTAAACTAAGTAATACTTAACATCTGACCCAAGGACCTGGGTTCAATTCCCGGCCCAGATCATTTATCATGCACGTAATTGGGTTTCTGTGAAGGCAGTCTTTGTGGGACACCCAGAGCCGATCTGGGATGATTTACGTCCTACACTTGTCTGACTTGCCTGGTATCACTCCAGCTCTTGTTGCTGCTCAATGCTGAATTATAACATTGGAAATGCTCCTATTTCCTTGATGTAGAACCCAGGACTTGGAGTAGACGGTTACTGGCGCAATGCATGGTTACTTGACTTGACTTTACTGTAGTTAGTTGTTGATGCTCAAAGCCAATCTGCAATGATTTACGTTCTGCACTTGTCTGACTTTTCTGGTATCACTCCTGTTGCACAGTATCCACCATCAATACTGCATTATAACATTAGAAAAGCTCCTATTTCTTTGATGTAGAACTCAGGACATGCAGTAGACGGTTGTTAACGTTGTTGTTGACGGATTCTCACAGACAAGTGCGATCATGTCACCACTGTCACCACGTCCTGTCAAAAAGTTGTCCACAAACCGTCGATAGCCCCCGGGTATCCCTTACCAGCCGGTGTCAACTTGACTCAGAGTTGCAGAGAGACAAATCCGATGCCTTGTAGTGGTACAAGCCGTTTCTCTCCTTCTTTTGAAGTAAAAAAGATGTCACCAGTAGTTTTCACGTAGCCAGAAGTTGTTGTGCCATTCCCTGATTGAAGAACATGTAACTCCACCACCAATCCAGCTGTTGGTTATGTATAAATACTCCTGTAAGGTACAGAAAAGTCGTCTCTGTCTCCAAAAGAAACTGTGACCATATTTTGTGCGTCAGGATTTGGCAGGTTTCTGACTGTGAGTTCTCTCTCACATGTCCACTGGCTTTGGTTGTCGCACAGTTAGTCCCAAAAGGGGTATGTAGTCCCTTTAGAAGTAGCCCAGCTGCCAAGTTACAGAGCTTCCATGTGGAGGGATGTCAGCCTCTACCCCACACAGTGCCTGACAGATTCACAACTGTGGGTCCCTGGATTCAGGGTAGGGTAGGGGGGTGTTGGGTTGGGGAGGGACGGGTTCGTAATCAAACCCAGATGTGTAGAAACCATTACTGTATCCGCACTCCGCGCAGAAGGCTTATGTTAGATCAGGGTGGATTTTGGTAAGAATGTAGGATAAATGGTAAGTCTGTAGGGAGGGTGGGTTGTAATCCCCACAAGTCTGGACACCCCCGCGTCTGGACCGGTCCATATCTTGGCTTGATTGCCTTGCCATAACCAAAACACATGCAGGAGATAATTTTAGCCGCCCGCAGTTTTTCGGAATGCGGGGAATGGGGAAGAGGGAAGCGTCTAGGAAACGGGAAGCGATCGTAACAGCCCAACCGCAAAGCATTCGTAGAGACCGGCGCAAGTAAGGAAAAAAACTTTCTAAAGTTTAACTTTATCTTTAGTTTACTAGTCATGCAGGCATCAGGATTTGGAATCTTTGTAACTGTAACTGTGTAAGAGTAGGCAATATCAATGGTATAACTTGTTTTCTTTTCTCTCTTGATAGTAGAACTCTTTTTAAGTGGTGTTAAGGCCACACCAATTTAATTTCTTGGTTAACGGATTCGCCGCTTCATTTTTTTCTGATTTGCAAATAAAAATAAAAATCCAGAATCAACTGCAAAATGCTCATATTTTGTCCTGAACAGTTGAAAACAGTCCTTTCCATCCTAGTTGTTACAGTCATTCCATCTTTCAATGCAATGGTATCATTAAAAGTTCAAAATTCATTGTTTAAATTTTGAACCAGCCTGGTGTGTTGACTTCATGGCTTCTATCGTACCATTTTGGGCCATAATACGATGCCTAGGCCTGTTTTTATTTATTTATTTTTTTTCGCCCGCCCGCTCCATTATTTTTCTAGAAAAATCCGTTAACCAAGAAATTAAATTGGTGTGGCCTAAGAGCTAGTAAACTGGAGAAAGGGTCAGACAAGTTTGAATGAATGAATCATGCTTCAAAGTGAATCATGATCAGTTTTCTTGTTTGTGGTTTATTCTGAGGAAATGTGTAAGTTGTCCTATGGATCTTGCTTCATGCCTTTTGACTGAATCACAATGTTTTTGTAATGTTTAAGGAAATACTTTTGTTAAAGCTATATGTACATGTATGTACTGTATGTAGGATCTTACATCAAGTATATGAAATAAACAGTCATAATGATCTAGTACCCTTTTCTGACACAGGCTATACATGGACTTTCTACCAATATGGTGTGACTTTGATATATTACCTGTTATAAGAAATATCAACTTTTTTATTTAAAAAAATTAAGGCTTCATTGAAACTTATAAACTTCCAGTCGGTCTTTTCAAATTCTGAATGACTGTATGTGTTCATCACCAGTTTGTATGATACTGTTGAAGTGACTATGCTTAGATGTTGGGATTTGATGTGTTTTTCCCCATGTATGGTGTGACAGAGAACAACTGTTACTCCTTTTAAACATTTATGTACAAATGTATATCTACAAAGGCAAACTCAGAACTTAAACCAACATTCAATACTGTTGAAGAAGACCCCATGTTGGTACATTGGCTTGCACTGCGGTACCATAAGTGTAAGAATGTTGCTGTATTTTCAGAATCGTGTCAGAGTTGACAATGATGTCTTCATTTAATATGGTTGATTTCGGTAGTCACTCTGAGATTGTGTGATGTTTAGGGGGCTGGTATGACAAAGATTTCAGTTTGACAATTTTGTCTTTCAATGTCGGAATCTGTGTTCCCAGTTAGGGATTTGTTTCTCACTTGTGGAAAAGCCTTCAGGCCACACCAATTTATTTTCTTGGTTCTCGATTTAATTTAGCAAGCGGTCGAGATAAAAACTGAGGGTTTGGAGGAAAACTTGTATTCAGTACTAGATTTTCAAGTTTCAAGTTTAAGATGACAATATTCACTCCCTGAATCGGTATGTACATGTACATTGGGCTTATAACAGAAAGATTCTTTGCCTATTCTTTTGGGCCTCTGTATTCGAATGCTTCTTTCACAGAAAAGTGAAAAGTTTAATGTTAACTTCAACTATTCACAAGTTTAGTTTATATATATATAATATTCATGCCTGTTGCTAACATGTAAGACTACAAGTTTGTAATATTTGCAACACTTACACTTTTTATAGGTCAGTACATTTGGAAGTTGTAGAGGAAAGAAGCAGCTCGTTTTAATGTTTGTTGTGGCTACACTTGAACTAAAGGAAACAAGACCCTTTAGCCTTCTAATCTTTCTGCCTAATTACAAATCACACTCCAGAGAGTCCAGAAAGAAGCAGTTTTTTTACCACAATTACCCCCTAACTTTAATGCTCCATCTAAACCAATTGTCTTTGTTTGTTTGGACAACTTTAATTCACTGTTGACACAATTGAGTCCTGTCAGTCAGCAGAGCTCCCCTAGGTCCCCCAGCCCCTCCCTGATGAGCTGCCAGCTGGGTTGGCTAATTGATGGCAGCAGGTGGGGGGACACCTAATCTGGGGTCTTGCCCTGCCAGGTAGGTTTGAGTTTGGACATGCCTGTTGCCTTCTCATGGCAGTTAGCTGTATAGCTTGGGGATCAGAAGATCATCTGATATGTGCAGTTAGAGTTCTTTTTGATATCCTACACTGTAATAGGGCTTGTTAGCGACAGTTTCATGTTTGTCATCACTTATGATTTTTTCCTTTGGCTTAACCTTCACCAAACACATAGACAAGAAAAACACAATTTTCTGGGTGGACAGTTCGCCTGTTACAGTTAGCTTGGGGATTGGAAGATCATCTGATATGTGCAACTTTGAAGTTCTTTTTGATATCCAACACTGTAGGGCTTGTTAGAGACAGTTTCATGTTTGTCATCACTTATGATTTTTTTCCTGGGCCTCACCATACACAAAGACAAAAAAAACACAATTTTTCTCATGACAGTTAGAGGGGATTGCAAGATCATCTGATATGTGCAGTTGAAGTTCTTTTTGATATCCAACACTGTAGGGCTTGTTAGAGACAGTTTCACGTTTGTCATCACTTTGGCTCTTTTGTGATAACCTGTAACACACACGATGACAAGAAAAACACAATTTTCTGGGTGGACAATTTGCCTGTAGTGTTGGCTGCTTATGACAGATAGCTTGGGGATTGGAAGATCATCTGATACCTGCAGTTGAAATTCTTTGGGACATGTGACACTGCAGGGCTTTTTGAAGAAATTCTATTGATTGTCATCACTTTTGTGACAATACACACAAGGAAATTGAGGAGAAACACAATTTTCCACATTGTATTCCATACATTTGTATATACGATAAAGGTGATTCATGTCTGATTGATTGGTTGATTGATTGATTGATTGATTGAAAACCACAATTTAGCTGCTGATATCTAAGTAAGACTTATTCGAAAAGCAGTTAGCAAGCTAACATAACAACAAAATTGTGATGTTTTGAAACCCCAGTACACAATGTCAATTATTATTAGATATAGCCTGTATTTTGGTGATGGAAACACTGTTAATACTTTGTTTCTGCCCAAGGGCAATTATAATTAAGGCAGTGTGTCTGGGATTTGTTAGACTATTATACTCCATAGCCACAATAATTACAGATATCCTATAGCCACACATGTCTTCAATTGCTCCTGCATATTGGTTGGTAATGCATCAGTCAATAAAATCTCAAGGGGTGGTTGGGGATGAGGGGGATCAGCAAGATAATATAAACTTTTCTTGTAACTTTTGGAATGGTTTTGTCTTCATAATTATGAGAGTTTATCTGATATAAAAGTAGAAATTTCGATGCCAGATCTCAGACAAAATAAAGGTCCATGCTGGTAGCCTCCTGATGCTTATAACATACAAATTTTGAAAAGATGCAGTTTGGAAGGAGCCTGCAAGGGGGATTTCCTTAATCTTTCAGAGGTTGAAGTTATAAAAATTCTGTATTTATCAGATCATCCAAAATGATATCACCTTAGACCCTGTATCTGTATAGGCCTAGCCGGTATAACCGCCCTTTGGTGTAACACACCAGCTTCTGTATCTGTATAGCCGGTATAACCGCCCTTCAGCGTAACGCACCAGCTTCTGTATCTGTATAGCCGGTATAACCGCCCTTTGGCATAACACACCAGCTTCTGTATCTGTATAGCCGGTATAACCGCCCTTTGGCGTAACACACCAGCTTGTCATATACATATACATACACACACACAAAAAAATAACATTAACACATGAAAATATGAGAAATATTGAAATTTTAGAAATATTTTATAAGTTTCCTTGTTCATAATATTATGTTCCCCAAGGATCTGTGTTTACTATGTTCATAAGATCACGACTTTCCAAATTTGACATGACCACT